TGTATGTATGTATGTATGTATGTATGTATGTATGTATGTATGTATGTATGTAGGTAGGTAGGTAGGTAGGTAGGTAGGTAGTTAGGTATGTATGTATGTATGTATGTATGTATGTATGTATGTGTGTGTGTATGCGTGTACTTGTACACAAAGCCATACGCGATTACATATATATATATATATAGATATATTGTCACAGATGAGTTCACACCGCGCAGGTGTACACAAACACAAACCAATATATATATATATATATACACATACATACATGCATACATACATATATACATACACACACCCACGCACGCTCGCATATGCATATGCCTACACATGATAGGGCAGCGGTCCCAGTAAGCCGGGCAGGTTCGAAACGAACGCCCGCAGATGTCAACTCTTTGTCTCGCTTACTCTCTCTCCGTCTCCCTGTCTCTCGGCACCATCTCTCCATATTCTGTTCACATGTAGGCATGCATGCTTCAACACGTGTTTGAGGTTGAGGGTGCAGGGCATGTAAACCAGTAGAGTCCGCGTCTTCAGCATCGCAGTACCGCAACGGCATCTTTGGTGACGCAGTTACCAAGGACCAAAGCCTGCGCTCCGAAAGCTATTCTAGAAGCTGGTTCGAAGTAGGGCCTAGCAGTTCTGAAAAAGTGAAATGGCCCGAGTGTTTCTGCAGCCGCAAATCCCATCAGGCCTGGGTTTTGCTCTGCCTGTCTTCTGCGGCCTGAGCTGGCTTCCGCTCGTCCCTCGGCGCCGCCCCGCCGCTCGGGCAGCACGGGTTAACAGACACTAGACTAGACGCAGCTCGATCTCAAGGAACATCAAAGGGGGACTTTTGGAGTTCTAGGCAGTGAGGAGTAGCCGCAAGCTGCAACACAAACCTTCTGATCTAAGGGGGTATCAAATGGGGGGCCGTTTGGAGTTGTTTCAGGCACTGAGGAGTTGCCGCAAGCTGCTTCGAAGCGGAAATTAAACTGTGCTGTATTCTCACATATGAGACAGTGATGAGTGAGTGAGAACTGCTCAGCTCAGTTTTGGGGGCTCGTCGACTGTGATGCAGTGCGAGCAATAGTCTTCACGGGAAGTCTGGGAAGTCCCCGTCGACTCAGATGCTTTTCACATCAGGTGCATGTCGTCGACTCGTATATGCGGAAATGGTGGGGTGTCTTCGCAGCTTCGTATGTTACTGTTTAGTTGTCAGAGACTGGTGGTGAGAGGACCGTGTAGCAAAGTCTTATGTGTTTGCCTGATCACCAAGTGAGTGTTCTTGTGACTTGGCATGCTACGGTTGCTACTTTCGTTGTTTGCACACACCCGCATTGTTTGGGGTTGGAGGATCTTGGCGGGCAGAAGATCAGGTGCAGTTAAGTCAACCACTTAGTGGCTGAGTAGGTAACCTTTAACCTTTTGGGGTTTTATATAATCCTACCATAATTGAAAAGGTTAACCTTTCTTGGGCTAGGGTACTCAGCCCCTAAGACCCTTACCCTTGTTGAGTATCATTGGGATCTTGCAGATCCCACCGATCCACAGCTGGAGCCACGCAGTCTTAGCTCGGCATGTCGGAATCTCGCAGCCGAACACCCCAGGGTACCAGTTCCTGAAATTCAGTCAGAGCCTTGAAGAAGTCTGAGGTCCTGGTACAATATGAATAATTGAATAAAGAAATAAGTATATATATATATATATGTATATACATATAAACACATACACACACACATATATATATATATATACGGAAGGATACAAAAATATATACAGAGAGAGAGGGAGAGAGAGGTCTCAATATCCAACGATGAGAACATCCCCTGAGCACAAACACACCACGCACACCCGAACCCCCCTAAGCCCTAAACCCATGCGAACTCCTGAAGCCTGGCGCGGTGTCGACGACACCAGGTCACGACGCTTGTTGGTGCACCGCTGTGGCCACCAGGGACATGGTCCGATCCCCCGGATGAGCTGCTGGGCTTCGAGTTTTGGATTTGCGGTTTGTTGTTCAGTGGGTCAAGCTTTTTGGCTAAATCATGAACACTCTAGTTTCAGCGGGTCACTGAAACCGTGTCTTTGGGCTTCAGGGTTTTGAAATGGTTGCTACACCCCGAAGGCCAAGCAGAGGAATAAGGACTGGCATAAGGCTTCAGAAATCGGAAATGTATTGCTATGGCAGGAGTTTTTCTTGGGGAGTATGTCTGGAGTTTCGGTGTGCATGCAATGTGAAGCATAGATATCACTCAGACAGCACAACGGGGCACGCGCTGCCTATGGGCAAGTGTTCAGAGGAGTTTCGGCAGCCCCTTGACCATGTCTCTTCTTGCTCGCTTCAAGTTCGCATCTTTATTCGCATATCACGACACGACGGTGGAAAGCTGTTGCCCTCCCAAATCGGCTGGCAGAGATTTCCCCGTCATGGCAGGGTTCGTTGGTTCAACCCATCCACTCCCACAAGAGGGGGTCGAAGTTTGCTTTCGATGTAACTCTTGCTAGCACTACCGAAAACCCTAGACCACGAGCCAAAAAATCATGTTGAACCTTGAACCCTTTCTGTGACCTAAGCTCTTCGGGCTTTTTGCGGGCGCAGTCATATGGGCACTAGGGGAGATTGACACAAAGCAACCCCTGCAACCTAAGCCTTTCCATGTGTGTGTGAGTGTCAAAAAACCGAAAGGCCCCTAAACCCTAAACCGAAAGGCCCCTAAACCCTAAACCCTAGCTCTTGCGAGTGCGCGAGTCGAAATCGAAAGACCCGACACCCTTGAAGCCGAAGCCAACTAAATCCTAAACCCTACCTTAACCCCAAAGAACCTACCTTTTTGAGGACGTAGAGAAAGAAACTATAATAAGGAACCCTAAAAAGGTAGGTTATTTGGGGTCCAGGTAAGCCCCAAACAACCCTAAGTTTCAGGCAGATCGACAAATTTCACCGCCAGTATTGCGATGCCTTGGAGCAGCTGTTTGAGCAGCACAAGGCCCCGGTTTGAGAAGCACCCTTGCTGTTTGGACCCCGTTTCATGTCGGAGCCTTGATAATTGAAATAGGGCTTCGGGGTATATTATACTATAATTGTAATAAGCAGCCCCGAAATTACTCTTGGTAATTATTCATGCCGCCACTTCAGGCCCCATATTCACTATATGTAGAGGGAGGAACGCTTACGTAAGGCTTAGGGGCTCAGTAGCATTCAGCATCTCCACTCTGAAGGTCTTGTGAAATATTCGAGGCTTAAAGTGATGCGGTCTTGAGGACGTAGCGATAGCCGTGACCCACCTTCCTTGGTCAAAGGTGAGCACAGGCATTTATTGATGGCAGCCCTTGTTCTCACGAGTCGTAATCTGTGAATGCGCATTCGATATCGGACCATGAAGTAGGTCATCTTCGAAAGAAGTCCTAAGAAAGATTCGCGGTGCACGCAGTGCGCGTCAACTTGAATGCCGAAGCCGTCAGATGTGAAAACACCGCGAGAGGCAAAAGCCGTAGTAACGCTCACCATGGACATACGTCGTTGACGTCAAGGACGAAAACAGCACTAATTGTAGTGATTACAACATCCAGCCTTGCTTTGCCAGCAACCTTCAATCTCGGAGTTGAGGGTTAAGGGTTTAGGACTTAAATTAGGGTTTAGGGTTTAGAGTTTAGGGTTTAGGGTTTAAGGTTTAGGGTTTAGGGTTTAGGGTTGAGGGTACACCTCGGAAGGTCTACGGGACTCGCCCCAAGTGCAACAGACGTAGCTCTGTCAACTGCAACGTTGAACAAGATGAAACCGTTATTATGATACAGGGGCCTTAGTGATTACCTGTCCTATTTTGGGGGGGGGAATTCCTTATTTTGACTATTTTAGTATAGTAGAGAGAGTATAGTATACCCCAAAACCCTATTCTAATTATTAAGGCCCTACGTTAGTTAGGCTCGTCTGCCCTGCATCCTAAACTTGTTCACGTGCTCGGTGTGAGGCGGAGTATGGCATGGCGGATGCCAGGCTTGTGCTGGTATAAGTGCCTTGACGGGGAGATGTTCTGTTCTCTCAGCTTTAGGGCTATCCCGGTATCGGAACGAGTTCTGGAAGGCAGCGCAGCAAGTTGGACTTTCGGAGAGCCTCAAAGACCGGTTTAGGGTTTAGGGTTCAGGGTTTAGGGTTATGGCCTGTAAAGTGAAGCTCCCCAATCAGGGGGTCGGCAGGTGTCTGAGCAGGTCATCCGAATCCAAAGCCTGTCTGTTCTACTCTGTTATCTCCATGAAGTCATATGGAAGGTTTCAAAGTCAAGGACAAGCCGTGGAGAAAAAATCACGAGGCATTGATCGGATGCTCAAGATTCTATCGTGACGTAGCACTTCCAGTACCCCCGTCTGTACTTGGGCGCCTATGTACATCCATCAGGCTCTCGCAGTGTCTGAGCCGGACCCGCATGGCAACCAGGCTGCTTACATACATTGATTCGTTCGGTTACAGCTGAAGGTTGGTGGCTTCATTTTGTTCATCCGATGCCTTCCTTCTGGTAGCCAGTGGTAGCCTGAGGGAAGTTCCAGCTTGACAAAGTTCAGCAGCGGCACCAGCGTGAGGAAAAGATCGCAGCTGCCTTCGGTTTCCGAGCCGGCCAGATTCTGCATTTCTGTTGCGCGTTGCCATGGATCAGAGAATGCCTCTTTCCAGTCTCCCCTTCTAAACCTGGTTCTAGATCGCACAGTGATGGACCCTGCCCTAAGCCCTAAAATCCCTAAAATCATGCTAGATCCCAGCACGCCATACGAATCATATGAATGTTGTGGTGCCCAGTGCGCACTGTTTGCTGCAGTCCTGCTGACTGGAATCATCGAAAGTCCAGAGTGCATTGCGGCTTCAGGAATGTCCAACGTACATCACCCCGGCGCTCACCTGGAAGAAGGCATGACAACGAACGCGTGGGAGGTTTTTGTTCGCCACGATATTGGTTCTGGAGATGCAAGGTTTGGTTCATCTATGCCGGTTGCGGCATAGTGTTGGAGGGCTTCCGCGATCTTCTTTTGTTGGTTTTGCCGCCGTTGATTAGTATGACTTCTATTGTTTTATGCAAACTCTGATGTGTCTTCAGTTTATGTGATGGAGTTCAGTGCTTTTTGGGTATTGATTCTACCTAGAGGGTCATACCCTCCCCTTGTTTTAGTGCAACTAGCTTCATGGTTACGATCCGGTATATAGAAAAATTAGGTACCCTAAAGTAAGTGTAGGGTAGGACCCTCTAGGTAGGGCTCAGTGAGGGAACTCCGTCTTGAGGCCTCAGAGCAGACCATGAGCATGGAAGTGAAAGCAGTCTGTAGGCGGCGGCTGCCAGTGAAGTCGCCGGGATCCCAGACAGTCTTGTTTCGATTGGGCGAGTTTTCATGGTTCTGCCAGAGGCTCGTATCCCCTAACTACAATACCCTGGCTTCACCACCCTTTTGGTGCCCTTACTGTTTGAGCTCCTTTCAGCAGCCTATGCCCACATATGCTCTTAGGGTTATCACCAACCGATGCAAGGTCCATGGATCCTATTTCTTCTTGGATGGAATAGTTAAGCCCCGAAGTTCCGTGCTTTAAGCTCCGCTCAAGAAGTGAGCTTGCAATGCAGGGTTTCAGGGTTTAGATGGTTTTAGGAACTTTATGGAGCCTGTGGGTAGTAGCTGTGAGTGATTTGGAGCGCCGGGCGTAGGGCGTATTGGGGGGGTAGCTTGAGCACCTGCCTCGCTCCGTGATTGTACCGTCCGCGAGGCCTTAGTAGTAGTAAAAAGGTTGTTGTGACTGCTGGATAGGTACGTGTCCAAACAAGCAACCTGTAGAAGGTCAGACGGACATAAAGGCCTCACGGATGCAGTGGAAGCATGCCAAGGTGCTCTGTGGATTAGCCTGCATGGTGCGGGTCTCAGTGAAAAACCCACGCACCCCTCTATGCGAAACGCGGGGGCTTTACCCTGCGATGCGAAGTGCGCGCAAACCTAAACCCTGAGTTTGGAAGGTCTTGTCCGTGGACATGTTGTAACTGTATGCTCTTGCCAAAGGCTCATGTTCCTGGCTCGCGGCTGGCAACTAGATTCCACATACACAACGGCTCAACTAATCAACAAATCCAGCGGAACCTTCAATCGAGCCGCCGACATATCCGAATGGTAGTGGGAGCGAGCAGGCAGTCCAGAATGTAGAGCCCTGATGAGCGATCATGCTGGATGAATTAGGATTCTGAAGGGGGTCCTCATGTTAATGAAGGCCCTGAAAGAAAGTCGGGGGTTTGATCAATCAGGGTCTACATCATGCTCCGAAGCTCATGATGTCCTGGTCCAGCAGCCACCCCTGAGCCTCTACTGAGGGCCCTGAACACTGGATACAGGGCTTTGTGGCAGTGCTTAGCAGGATGATGAGCTTAAGTGCCAGGAGGACTAGGCAACAAGCAGTTGTTGCCTTGGGTCTTGTCCTGAGTGAATCAACAGATGCAGCGGTACACCGATTTAACATCACCAATAATGAATTTGGGCTACCAGCAGTGTCACATTGGTTGTTGCTGTTGTTGCTGCTGCCTTTCTTGTTTCTCGAAACCAGCGTGAATGTACCGTGGTCCCACGGCCCTATACACGAAAAACATTTCTTCCGCCACTAACACCTTCTCAGCAGGCAGCTGTGGCTGAACGTTCCCAATACAAGGGCAGACTGAATTCACTAGGGATGGGGTCCGGAGTGCTTCTATATTTTACAGGAATATACTGTACATGAGCTCTACAAGGAGCAATAATTGCCCAGTGACCAGTGAAATTGTTTGTGCTAGCCTGTATAGGTGTAGAACCCCAGAGGCTCAAAGATTTGAACATGCGGTAACAAGCACCCCACACCCCACATATTCCTATCAGCTAAACCAACTCGAAACCGCAAACCCAAGCGCGGGAGGACCTCGCTCAGCAGCTGGAGACTTTCCCAGACGCGGACGCGAAGGTCCCTACAGTTTCTGGCCAGCGGTGCATGTGGTCTGTGCATCCCATGTGTTCGATTGCAACCTCCCAAACCTGTCCCACTGATCATGCCCCAGCAAATCCAGACGCCACGTCGAATGAGTGTGAGATTGTAACTGTTTTGTGTTATCAGGTGCGTGCCGTGCAGACGGCCTGGTGCGGCGGGGGCAACGCGGCGAACACCGCTGCGGCACTAGCACGCCTGGGAAGTCGCACGCGACTCCTGACGAAGGCCAGGGAAGTTCCATGTATGAACATTGCAGTGCCGCGCTGCTGTATTATGAATGGGATTTCGTATGCATGTCGACTGTAAGAATTGCAACATGTGCCCCTTCCCTGGCTATACGTACAACTATGTATAGCACTCGGTTCACCCAGACATGTGTGCATGTGTTTGTGCATATTTATATATAGATATATACACACACACACATTTTTTATGCACACATCCTTAGGTATGTGTGTGTATATATATATATATATACATACACGTATATCGTTATATATGTCGATATTAATTATGACATAGCACGAGAATGTGAAGCGATTTTGATTTAAGCAGTGTTTTGGTAAAATGTGCACCCCGTGCCTAGCCTATGTAGTCACTTAATTGTGAAATTCAGGTTACCACGGCATCTTAAAGTCATCTCTACCAGACACTATGAAGTTGGTAGTCTTCCTGGGCTCCTGCTGTTGTTGAGTCGCTCCCTGGTTCGCTTCGTCTGTGGGCTGTGCATCATCCTCATCATCGTCATCATCATCATCGTCGTCATCATCATCGCTTTTCATGTATGTTCCGTTCCAATACTCCGAAGCAGCTGTCGACGGGTTGGCAGACGCCACGAACAAGAAGAATTTTGTCAAGAAAGAGGCCGGCTGCACAATTCGCATTTGGAAGGTTTCAAATCTCTCACTGGGGCCAGTGTTTTCGTGCTTCGCCACGCAGAGCCCTGGTAAACAAAACGGCACCTCATCCAAAGCAAAAAACTTTTTGTCAAACCTGTTCACACAACCCCACGTTTTCAGCGCTTTTGCGAATCTGCTGCACCAATGGACCGTGCCAAAACCCGACGGTCATACTGGCGCGCGTTACCTTTAGTTTTATGGTTAGGATCTCTTTGATCGAAACGTAAGTAACCAAAAAAGGGGTTAGGGTATGAGCCTAGAGGTATAAGCTTTGTCTGGCTAGTCCGAGCACGAGACCTGAAATTTGACACGCCGAAGCTCGATCGAGCTTTAGCTTCGGTTCCTGCATTTGCTTTGTGGCTGAGTAGGTACAGTAACCTTTAACCTTTTGGGGTTTATAGAACCCTACCATAATTGAAAAGGTTAACCTTTCCTTGGGATAGGGTACTCAGCCCCTAAGTTTGTTGCTACATCTGCGTAGCCAGGATGCCAACATGGACTGAAGCCTCGGTTTTACAGGTACGGGTTGCAGGCCCAGCGAATTTTCGGCTGAAGCTGTCGGACAGGTGGGTGACGATGCGCTGGGAAGCTCAATTTTGGAAGGCGGCCTCGATCCGAAGCGATGACACCACAGGCATTTACTCTCTCAGACAGCGCTCGGACGCATGTTTGTACTTTGCCTTTGTTCTTCGAAGGGAACTTGAGTGGTCAATGAGATCTGGGTTAGTTTGTGCATGGGCGTCCTTGCCTTAACACCGTAAGAGTGTGGCACCACTTGGAGCCTCTAATAGGATCCGGTCTGTGAAAAAACTGACCACGTACATGAAAGAGGTTCACAGACGTTCATGAACTATGTTGCGTTACTACAGTTTCTCCTGCATCCGGGTGTGAGACATGACGCAAAGCAATTCTTGGCTACCCCAGATCCCATAAGCCCCGGAACCCTGAGCCCAAACTCCAAACCCTACGAAGCCCAAACTTCGAATTAATTACCAATGCTATTCTTGGGGGGTTCCTTACAATATAGTTATAGTACAATGGACCCCAAAACCCTATTCGAATGATTAAGGCTTCCAAAGCGCAAGGAGAAAGTCAAGGAGTCCGAAAAACCCTTGAAGATCCGGAGTAGTTCGCGCTGACATCCATAGCCTATGAGCTGAGATAGAATTCTTAATCGTTAGTATATACAGCCCTATAAGTTCCGTAGAGGTCGATAGTATAAGTACATATAAATATGCTCATATGGGTCTTATATGTATATATACATACATATATACATATACATATATATATATATATTAAAGTGCAAGCATATGCTTCATTCTTATACCAACCCTGAATCCATCGTCTCACAAGAAAAACCGAGCTTTGCACCCTACAAAAATCGTTTGCGAATGCTTGCTGGCAACCCTACAGAATCTCATGGCATCCTCGTGCCCCTCCAACCCCGATAAAACCCTGAGAAACTCCCGATTCTAAGGCCTAAACCCTAAACTCTAAACTCCCGATTCTAAGTCCTAAACCCTAAGGCCGTCAACCAACAGAAACCTGGCCACGAGGCCTTGCTGATCAGGGCGTCGACACCAGTGGCGCACTGAGAGCCGAGGGCCGGCGCGGGACCCAGAGTTTAGGGCATAGGGAGACGTCAAGAGAGCGAGAGAGAGTGCATGTGTGTTTGCGTTGTAGACGTATGCTCGATGTATGTATGTGTATATATATATATATACGTGTTCTATGTAGATATCCTCTATATATATATATATAGGTATATATATATACATACATACATACATACATACATACATACATACATACATACATACATACATACATACATATGTACATATGCATGTGTGTGGGTATGTAAGTAAGCATGTAGGCGGGTGTGCGGGTGTATCTGTATGTACGTAAGTATGTATGTATGTATGTATGTTTGTATGCATGTGTGTATGTATGCATGTATGTAATACAGACAACTGATTATGAACGTGTATATATTTATGTACGTGTATTATACAGATATGCACACATGTACACATAATTATGATTACATGTACGTTCATGAACATGTATAGATATATATATATATATGTCTATATATGCATACGTGTTTGTGTGTGTGCATTCTGCATTCATGGATGTCTGTATGTATGTGTAAGTATGCATGTTTGTGTGTCTGTCTGTCTGTCTGTCTGTCTGTCTGTCTGTCTGTCTGTCTGTCTGTCTGTCTGTCTGTATGTATGTATGTATGTATGTATGTATGTATGTATGTATGTATGTGTGTACGTGTGTACGTGTGTATGTGTACGAACGTATGTTTGTTGCACATGGTGAATGCGGTCTTCTGTGATTTGCGGAATAAGACCAGTTCTAAAGGACCCATCCTCCCCTCAGGTCGTCCACCTTTAGCACTGTGCTGGTGGATAGATCCAGCGGCACGAGGCACGACTCCGGGGTTTGGGTCAGCGGCCCCCATGTCCCCCAGTTAAATCTATTCCTGAGGTTCCGCCGTATAATTATCATAGTCCAATATATGCAAGAGACCCCAAATCCTTCGATTTGGCCCGAGAAGGCCCGAATTTTCTAGGCGATCTTGGATAGGTTGAGGTGGAGCTGGGGCTTAACCGAGGGGTTCCTGTCCGAGGCCGCAGGTTCCAAAGGCCCCGTAGCCGACGATGGGATAATTACAAGATTACCAAGAACAATAGATAGAACCATCATACTACATGATCACATTATAGTTAATAAGCATATTCATAATAGTAATAATCTGCTAAGAACCCCTAGACCCTTTGCTGCGCCTACCCCGCCCGAGCCGGTGGTAAACCCGCGCATTTCCTTTGCTTCGGAGGACCTGTGTGAACTCGCCGATGGAGCAAGACATGTCGAAAGGGGAAATGCGCGGGTCTTAGCAGACTGCGGTAGGCTCTGCAGGCTTGGAAGTACAAAGCCTTTGAGTATCGGAGTACACTAGTACCCTGAATCCATCTAGGAATTTACGTTTCCAGGCGACCAGATCTTAGGTGGCAAATTGCAGAGTCGATGGTCGTTGTTGGGCATGCGACTGCTTGGATGAAAGCAGCTTGTTGAGGCTTCCGGCGTAATTCTTGAATTTAGAGACAACTACGATTCCGTTATGGTTCCTATATTCTGATCAAACAAAGCCCCAGCCTGTACTCTAATAGTCAAGATCTTAAACACTCCCTAAACCCTTGGATTTTGCAGAGTTTGCGTTCTTTGACCCTCGTGTGTCACGGATGTGGGGCTTGACTTAGCCGTGTGCAGATCCTGTGCACAGCCTTCATCTAGAACATTTTCAGGTGGGTAGTTACCGTTATAGGAGCCTTATAGAAGGTCTATATACCTCATGGAATCATGGAAGACTTATAGAAGCCCTATATACCCTAAACTCCCCACCTGTAGGTTTCCTTAACTTTAGTGCCAAGGGTGCAGCTTCTTGCCGACGAGGCCGCTGCCTCAGGGCCAGACCACGAGTCTTGGGACCCAGAAAGAAGGATTTGAGGTCTAGGGTTTAGGGTAGGGTGCTGGCAGTCATCAAGTCCGGTTTCCAAAGGGTAGGGTTGGAGGGGTTTCGGCTTGTGGTGGATTTTGTTTGGTATTTTGGGGCTTGAGGTGAGGGAGGGCAGGGATCTCCGAGCCGAAGCAGGTTCTTTGATCCCCTTCGAATCCCAAAATCCTAAGGCGGACTATTCTGAAGCCCAAGACCAGGACCATTGGCTCACTCCGCGGGCAGGACAGTACCTCATGCATCGTGCGATTTGCAAGCCTTTCGCGCAGGCCATGTGTTTACGAATCATGCAGAGCCTTTCATATCCCGAGCCTGCAAGATAGTTCATTTGTCAAGGGGCATCTGTCACTTATAAGACCACAAAGCGCGTTACTCCCGAAACCGTTAACTAGCCCAAACTGAGCAATCGAAATCCAAACCAAGCCAGCTGAAATGACTCAGGCTGTGTCCTTCCGGTACGCCCTGCCCTGCACCCCCCCAATGGTGTTCTTTTTCCAGGTTTGGTCTAGTCGATCTCGACAGGAAGCCTCTTGTTCGGGGATTGGGCTTCCACTCAGGGTGTTAGATAAACCCTAAACCCTCCTAAACCCTTTAGCCCAAAACCCAAAACCCTAAACGCTGTGCAACTGCCGCAGTTCCGAACATACCCTGCAGAGCGAGCTCGTCATTGCTAAGTAGGAGGGAAAAACCCTCCTAAACCCTCAGCCCTAGAACCCAGAACCAGCTGGGCGGGTGGGAGAAAACCCAGAACCCTAAACCCTCCTAAACCCGGACCCCCAGTTCAGCCCAAAACATAGACCTTGTTACAGTAGGATGGTGCAGTCGATATGATTGCAAAAGCCCAGAGATGGCCAGGCCAGTGACCCTTCTTGAGACCAACTCTTTAGGGTTTGGGGATTAGGGTTTAGGGTTTAGGGCGTAGGCGCAATTCGAGAAGTGTACCAAGGGCTTAGGGTTCATGGTATCCAAACTGGCCATGGCACTTGCTTTGGCATATGGGTCTAATTCCGCAGAGATGTACGCCCGCGACCATGTGATAATTCTCTTGGGTTAAGTATAAACAGGCGTTTGGAAGAGATCCGCGAGGTGGCATAATGTTCATGAATAAAGCCCTCATGGCCTCAAAGTTGAGATGTTTAGCATTGTTGTTCCAAAATCTCCGTCTCGTAGTCTTTGGCTCGAGGCCTCGTGCCGACATTGACAGAGGGTACGGTGTGCAGAAATGCTCGATCCTACCCTAACTAAAGTACCAACGCCTTGTTGCACCTTCTGGTTTGGGATTCTGGAGTGTCAGGGAAAAACGTAAGCTGCTGATCTCTCAGAGGCATGCCGTGGCCGGCTAGGAGCCGAAGCTTTCACAGAACACCCTCCCACGTGTTGACAGTCCCCTTGTCGCGCCGCTCGCGATGCGACCCTAAACCGTAAGCCCAAAGTAGGACGCAAAGAAACCCTAAACCCTAAACCCTGCATGTACAGTACCAGAAAACCTTAAAGTGAGTTTTGGAGCGCACCTACCCAAGCCAGCGTCGGCAGTCTGCAGAGCTTGTGCCTCGATGGCAACTAAAAGCAGAGCAGTTCTCTAAGTTAGTGTCCTTGCTTGTGGGGGGGGGTGGGGATTTGAGGGTCGTGATGTTCTGAATGATATGACAAATGAATTCCAGAGTCACCTCAAGTACCAAGAGTTTGGAGTCCCCTGCCACTTTGGGCTGAATCAGAATCCGGTAACAATGTTGAAAACAACCTGCACACGTAGACGCTGTACTGTCATGAAGGTGAACTGACAATGGACACCTATAGCCAATCAACCCTTAAACTGGTAAGCCAAATCCCGAAACTCATCAGTCCCTTTACTTAAGCCGTTTCTACCGCATGTTCTTACGGCGATGGTGAGACCGCACAGAGGCGGTTTACACAATTCGAGATCTAAGGCGCAACCGTAACATCTGAACCCTATCCACCCTCAGCCCTAGAACAGTACTTATAGGCCCGAAGAAGCTCGTGAACATAGTGACGCTCCCTCGGAGGTAAAAAGGCTCCTGCCGCGGTGGCTTTGGAAAGCTACTGTGTCAGACGCCTATGTTATTCGTATTTCTTACCCGCTATAATCATAAGACGCACAAGGCATAGCCGACACTGACCGTGCACTTTGCAACTGCTGAGCCCATGGAACCTTCAGCCCTAGATCATAAAGCCCCAACCCTGAACCACAAAGCTGGGACCTTCTTGAAGCCATGCCTGCCTTGCACGAGTTTGTAAGTCGAAACCCTAAACTCAAAACAAGCCTCACCCAAAACCGCCCAGGTGGAGAAGATGCCGCAAGCGCCTCCGGCCATGCCACTCGGAAAGTGCCCGGTGCTGAGTGCTCGGGCTGGAGAGTTAGGGAAAAAGGTTTAGAGTTCTAGAAATCAGGACAGGATCACTTTCATATTCCGGGGCTATACGAGGAGTCCCACATATCATGAAGATTAAAACACTGAGCGACTGATTGCTGATAGCCATTAAGTCATTAAGTTATAGTGTGGCTGTCAGGTGGTATGCCTGCATGCAGCTCTGAACCTGAACCGTCTCAACTTTGCGTGCGTTTGATTCACGGCTAGTGAATGCTTCTGGTCTATCACGAATGTCTGTGAGGCTTAATTTGATCATGCTCGTTTTGGGTGCATCAGAATCTCAGAGAGGGTCAGCGGTCCGTGCTTACAAAGGCACCTGAAGGCATCGTCATGCAAGAATAGGTCCCTTCAAGCATGTTCCCAGGCACGGTCTTATAGTCTATCCTGCAAGTCTCCGTAGCGCAAGAATATTTGCCCCGACTTCAATCAGCAAAGTCATTGACAGAAAGCCTTGGGCATACGCCGAGAAGTGCAATGCATGAAGCCCCAGGCTGCAGCGTCAGCGCCGACGACGGTTCGGTGAGAAGTGTCTTGCGCGCGGTGCCTCGTCCGAATGCGCCGAGAAAGGGCTAAGGAGGAAAGGCTGTAAGGCGTGGCTTAGTCAAAGCGGAAGTTCACACTGTCACAGCAAGAAATTTCTGACATCGCAAACTAGTGCTGGACATGTGGTCGGCGGAGACAGGTGACTCCTGAAGAGCCTTCTAAAATCTTCTACACGCTACGGCTGTCCGGAGAGCTTTCGAGTTGAGGGCCAAGGATTAGTTTGGGGTTTAGGGCTCGGTGCCTTAATTTGTTGTGTTTTTGTTCAGCGCAGTGGTGCTGGGTATGCAAATCCCCTTCCCCGGGGTCATGTGCTGATTTCGCAAGCAAACACAATTTGATGTGAAAGACCCAGGCATCGGCCAACCTGCTCGACCTGTGTACACACACACACACCAAGAGCTGCAAGACACACATGTATATTGCGCACACACAGGCATAAATCCATGCATACTTGCATACAGACATACCGACACACGTGTATGCATGCTTGCACCCTGACCTGCATGTGTGCATGCGTAACTACCTACCTACCTTCCTGCCTGCCCACCTACCTACCTACCTACCTACCTACCTACCTACCTACCTACATACATACATACATACATACATACATATATACATTCTTCACTTTGGCTTTCAATGAGAGTCGATACTCAGCCAACGGAAATTACGGAGGACAAGCATTCTGCTCGGCAACATGCTGCACACTACGTGCATCCTCCCCCTGCCAAACTTCCCGGTACTAGTACCCAAAGGCAGGACTCCACTAGCCTTGCCGATAGGCAAACAAGTGGGTAGTTCTCAAAATTAGGGTCCCTTTTTGGGTCCCCAATATAGTACGGCACCCTTATAAAAAGGACCCTTAAAGGGACCCTAATTTAGAAAACTACCCAAGTACGTATCGCGATGCAGTTCCTCAGCCCTGCGAGTCGAAATGCACTGAGCCGTGACACCATCATCATCGAAATAAATCTCAGTAGCAGCGTGTTCAGCATAGACCAGTGACTGATAGTGGCTTCTGGTATACATACATACATACATACATACATACATACATACATACATACATACTGCATAGCTACGTCGTTGCACACGTACATGCAAACAAACGTGCATACAAATACGTACATACACATACATAAATACACTTACATACAAACTCAGACATACACACTTGCACACACATGCATGCATACATGCATGCGTACATACATAACTTACATGCATGCGTACATACATAACATACATGCATGCATGCATGCATGCATGCATGCATACATACATACATACATACATACGCATGCAGGCAGGCATATCAACACACGCATACATACACGCACATGCATGCCTGCAATGCGTGGACGTATGTATATGTCTATGAATGTATGTATCTATGGTCGTATGTAGTTATGTGTGTATACATGTGTCTACTTTCACTTATATACTGTTTGCCTGCCTGCCCGCCTGGCTGGCTGGCTGGCTGTCTGTCTGTTTGTTTGTTTGTTTGTTTGTTTGTCTGTATGTGTGTGTGTGTGTGTATGTGTGTATGTGTGTATGTATGTATGTATGTATGTATGTATGTATGTGTGTGTATGTATGTATGCATGCATGCATGCATGCATGCATGGATGGATGGATGTATGTATGTATGTATGTATGTATGTATGTATGTATGTAAGTACGCATGCTTGTGCATATATGTGTAGTCCATTCATCTACAGCTTCTTGTGGGCATTCTTGACATCGGCTTAGATGCCTATCGCTGAGAACGTAGCGCGCTTGTTTATCAGTCAGAGTTTAACATGTGCCGAAACCGCATTGAAAAGATATTGAGGCCCTAATCTCTCCCTTCAGTTTCTTATGAGAAACACGCTTGCGAAGGCACCCCGATGTAGACCTGAAAAGACCTGCAGGATGTTGTTGTAGAGAACGCTGACGGGAACCTCAGGGTGTGGTTTCACCGACATTGAAGCCCCACGGAATTTCCCAGGAGATGGCGGAACAACAGCAGCTGGGCGAGTGTTCGATCAACTTTAGGTTAGGCAGAGAGTCCCTGGTGTAAGCAGGCTTCGTCATCATTCTTCTTACGCGGGTGTATTTAACCATGTCCTTGCCAATAGCGTTGGGGCCAAGGTTCTAGTAATTATGATTCTGCAGGAACGCTACATCCGAAGCTCTCAGCAGAAAGACTTCGCATCGTTCACCACATTGCACCTTCAGGCCTTCGCACCACCATCCAGGAGACCACAAGTTCCGAGTGTCCATGGCCCTAAACAAAGCTTCCAAAATCGGATCTGTTGCCCCTGCATCTTCACCGCTCATGGACAGTTTTGTTTTTTTAAATGTCGGCTTGTAAACCCTTGTTGATGCATCCCCGGTAATCTTCATGTGTGACATCTCCACCACCGTAGTTTCAGCAGCAAGTGCAGCAATGAACAGACATACGTCTGCATCAAGAAGACCTAGCAAGACGGAACTTTGGCCGCATTGCCTTGCCAGGAAGTTCATCCAGGACTCGGTAGTTGGCTGGGTTTGGGGTTTAGGCTTCCCTGGACTCTTCAGGAAATGCGAATCAGTGATTGATCTGCAGGTGTGTTAAAGCATCCAGCCCTGGGTTGTCAGTCAAACGAGCTACGCCTCGTTTACTTTTGCCAGTGGTCTTTTTTGGCGCCAGAGTGCTCTTCATATATTTTTGCTTACTTAGTTCATCCTACCCCACAATCCAGACCTGGGCGTTGGAAGAAGGTCGAAGCAATGAGCTCAACAGTTGGAGTTCTAGTACGCTTTGCTGGCTTTGGTGTGTATATTTCTGTTGTGATCAGTCTTGGTATGAGGCTTATAGTCTGGCTGCACTGTCTGTACGTGTATATGTGTGTCTTTTATTGCCGAAATGTGGCCACACACTCTCCCCGCCTTTCAGGACGCCTTTGCTGCGCAGGATCGGCGGATGCAAAAGCAGCTCACGGTCCGGGTCGCAGATTTGGCGCTGAGTTCTGCCTGGTGGGTGAATGGCTGTTTGGTGACTGGGGGCTTCTTATAGGGGGACATGTGCTTCTCATGAAGGCTTACGCCGAGGCCTTCATGACAACAAGGGGGAGCTGTAAAAAAGTTGTTTTTGTCCTTGAAGTTCCTTGGCGTACCACTGGCACCCAATTCTCGCCCAAGTGCGAATTACTCGCTAGCATGTACTTGCCAGAAATGAAGGGCCGAAATTGCAGGATCATCACCAGGTTCGCGCTTGTCATGGCATGACTTTAACGGTTATATACTACCGTAAACATGACCAGTATTGGCCCAAAGATGTAGAGCGGGATCTCTAGTTAAACCGGTCATGACGACCTTAGACCTCCGATCCTTTCGCCGAAAAGCAACACGCAGTGTGGCTCCGACGCCCTCATTTTCGCCCGGACCGATTCTTGAAGACTCCCGGTCCTTCAGTGAATGCTACGATGGCAGTTCAGCTTGCCAACGTGGCCGGTGCCACGCAGCGTTGCTCCGACGCCCTCATTTTCGCCCGGGCTGATTCTTGAAGACTCCCGGTCCATGCCACGACTGCTGGCAGTGGAGCTTGCCAACGTCGCCGGAGCCATGCAGTGTTGCTTCGACGCCCTCATTTCCGCCCGGACCGATTTTTTGAAGACTCCCGGTCCTTCAGTGAATGCCATCCATGCTGGAAGTGCCATGCCTTTACGCAGTTTTTCGTTGTCACTCCGAAGGGCATGGCTGCCACGCCCTTCGGAGTGACCACGAAAAACTGCGCAAAGCGATTTGCATCCGGGGCCAGGAGCTTGAAGAGGTCAGGCGGCTCCTGCACGATAAGATGACAGTTCCAAGGACGCATCGCGACAGCGACATTTCGCTGGTGAGCAACCGCGCTTCTGATGGACAGGAGGAGCCGGAGGCGTCAGACAACGAAAGGGCGCAAGCCAAGGCGTTCCTGAACAAAAAACGACCTCGTGGACTTCATGCATGGGGAGCCCTGGCCGACGTGCGCGGTGGAGAGCGTTCGCAGGTCCATCACGGAATGCTTATCGGAGGAGCTCATGACTCCGCCGCCATGACCATCAAACTGCAGCAGCCCGCTACCTGGAAACCCTTGGGCGATGCGCTGCCGGTCCATCAGCAGTTGCCTGGACCAGAGACCGAGATCCCTAAACCCTAAACCCTAAACTTCTAAACCATGAATGATGACGAGGAAGATCTGCCTGGAGCGCTCCGGCCATGGGCTATAGGGGACCTCAAGTCCTTCTGAGATGATAAGAAGCGAAAGAGCGGAGCCTCCATGGCTCCGACGCATCTTCCTTCGGTTTCCGCTGCGAAGGATCCTGCCGATCTTTTCCACCCGGCATGTGATGTATTGCCTACTCTTTTGGAGTTCTTTTCTGTGCCAGACATGCTGGCCTGGCGTCTGATATCCGAGCAGACTCGGAGTCCGGAGGCCTTGTTACGACACCTGGCCGAGCATGGCCTCGATCCTCTCATTTTCTGATGGTGTGGAGCACATCGTCTCGGACTCTGAAGCTTTTCCCGACGACATCGAATGCCAGAAGCGCTTGCATTGCCAGCTCTGGTGCCTGGCGCGTGCGAGAACGGACACAACCCATTTTGCTGAAGACTATGTCCGCCAGACCGTCGGCAACAACCTCTCTGACCCATTGTCTTATATTGCCTGGACTCTGATGAATGCGTGCGTAAAAGAACGCACCATATAGTTGAACAGTATGCCTGCGGTGGCCTCGGTTTCGTGAAGGAGCTGACTGCAGACAACATGCTCAGTCAGATACGAGACATCTTGGCAACCAGCACAGAATAGAGGTGACCTGGAAACACATGAAGGCGTACATGCGCCATCTTGAACGGCTTCTGCGATCACTGACGCAGCGTCAGCATCGGGAATGGATCTCTTTGCTTGTAGACTTCCTACATAGCCTTCAAGCAATGTCAGCTTCACGTAGGTCTGCTCGCCAAAGCGTGGTGATTGATCATCTGAAGCTCTTCTGGCTTTATCATGATTTTCCCCATCGAACCTATGCATATGAAGAACGGCAGCTCCGGGCCTTGGCACACTCCCTGAATTTCGAACATAGGAATGATGGGAAGACTCTGATGAACCTACTGCGCGGCTAACCTTTGTCTCGCCAGCCGCACATTGCACTCTGCCGCGCAGAAAAAAATCTTGAATCCTCGCCTTGCAAAACTGTGCAGTCTCCAGCAAACTCCCTGCGGGGCGACTTTGTCAGCTGGGCGGCTGGGAAAAGAACCTGCATGTTATTGTCCAGCACACATCCGTCCAGGCCCTGACGGACCTGGTGCACCAGTACATTGTTGAGGCGCGGCTGGGCAATTCTGGGGGCCTAAATAATTCATTACCTATTCTATTTTGAGGGTTCCTTGTTATAAGTATAGTTAATGGGCCTCAACACCCCATTCTAATTATTAAGGCCCCTACATTAGGATTGGTTCTACCAACTTGTCGTCGTTTGCGCATCTGCTGCGCCAGCTGCAGAGCCGTGCCTCCTGGTAACTGAAGGCCAGTGGTCTTATGGGAGTTTCCGAAAATTGGGGGGGTAATTACCTTATTTTAGGGTCCTTATAATAGATGTTGAGCTAGTCCTGGTTTTGGTCTTAATGACTGAGTAGGTAACCTTTAACCTTTTGCGGTTTATATAATCCTGTGCGTTGAGGACGTAGTGGAAGCCCTGCTATTGGATAACAGCCTATACCCTTGTATATAAAAGCTTAAATGTGTTTGCATTCGACGCCTTACACGATTCTATTAGGGTTGTCTTGATAGGGTGCTACAAGGGCTCAATCTTCGACAAGGTCCTATAGAAGCTTGGGTAAGCAGGGACTGATACAATTCGCCAAAATTTCTTGTGTTATTCGTTGTGTATTACACTCCAGAACCCTAGTCTGAATGTCAATGCCGCCATGTTAGGCCCTCAAGCGTAGGGTTAATAGGAGCAGGATAGTTTAAGTAGCCAGTGGCCGCCCGAGTGTTCAGGTGAGAACCTGGACTGCCCACAGAACTTGCGAGAAGTGTGGCAGCTGCGTTGATGGCTATTGCGATAGTATGAGGCACTGCACGACTGCCCGTCCGCGTGTGCGCGTGCAAGTCCTTGCTGAGCACTGAACGCTGACCGCAAAGGTGGATGCAGGGATGGTGAAGGTTTGTCCACCTTGGTGTGACGTGCTGGGCGAGTGTGACAATCTCTGCGGAATCAGTGTCGGAAAACCTGCTGACTCAAGCGGCACGGCACCCCTGGACTGCACTAGTGCATGTGTTGAGTGAGCGAGGCATGGCGATACCGGCGAAGGGGCGCTAAACACCTCGCAAACCTGAATGGCTGTTTTCCCTTGTGGCACTTCACTCCTTGCCAATACAGTGCTGTGCTGTCCTAGTGGAAAGCTGAATTGCAGTCAGATTTCAGTTAAACCTATAGTCTCCATTGTAGTTCTTTTTTTGGTTTAACCAATTCTATATTTAGGATCCTATAAGGTAACCCCAAAAAGGAACTGCAATGGAGACAATATAGAAGCATCCAGAAACCCTGAAAACATGTAGCAAACGCAGGTCCGCCAGGGAGGAGACCCGAGCAAGACATTCACCCCGAGCTCCGCTGGGGGATTTCAGGCTCTCCTTGGGAAGATTTAGGGAGGGGTCTAGGGATTTGAGTTTAGGGTTTCCAGGTTTCATGTTTAGGGCTTATAAGGGCTTGGGGGAGGGGCTTTGGGCTTTTATAGGGTTTCGGGGATTTGGTTTATGCAAAAAGGGCTTGTTCTTTTGTCAACGGCGCTATCGAGCTTCTTGACCGATTGTTTGAAGGTTGTACGTTTATGTAGGCTATATCCTTCATCGAGCCTCCGAGCACAGTGTTTATGTGGGGCCTTGGATGGGACGTGTCTTATGGTCTTTTCTCGGGCGCAGCTTCGGGAATCATTGAAGGAACGAGCAGGCTGGGCCAAGGAAGCTTGGAGATTTGACAGGGTTCGGAGTTGCTGTTTTGTTACATTCGAGGACGCTTTCGGGTTGAGGTTTCCCAGCGTAAGCTTTGGGCAGAGGCTTCGGTGGCTGGCGACAGCACAGAGCAGCGTTGGTCAGTTGTGTTGAGCGAGGGGGCATTGCTACACCAGACCGATGCCTCTGACAGGGTCTTGGATTGACGTGCTTGATTTCGGGTGGTGGGCAAGATGAGCCTTGCAATTCCTTTGCAAACCATGTCGACATCGCAGCACAAGCCGGATTCGTCACCCGAGCCATCGTCTAGTGCCTGGCCGTTTCGAAGTGCATGTCGCTACGGGCAGGAATGGCAGCAATTACTAATTATCACTGGCACTGGCAGTTTTGCAAGCAACGAAGCGCGACACTGCAACAAAGCCCAGTTGGAACGCCGGTGGGCGAGCTACCGCTAGGACTCAAACCTCTGGGCATGAGTTCGTGATGCATGCGTTAAGTGACTTCAGCACCTGAACCACCGAACCGGTAGTCCCGAATTCTTAATTCCTATCCTCTGGCCTTATAAACAAACCTACACACAGAGGTAACCTCAAGCAATGATGCACACCATTTGAGCCAGGTACCCTCAACTCCATTGCCCAAACCGCATTGATCCTTCTATGATGCCGTCTCAAGCACTTTCAATAAACCCTACTATAGCCCAGACCGTTTCTTGAAGCGCAGCCGGTCACAATGCTTGACAGGGTGGAGGTGGCTGTGCCATCCCATTTCAGGCCATGTCCTCCAAGGATTCGGCCTCGGTATGTGGTTAAGGTTCCGGTGCTTGCCATGTGGAGTTCGCATTTGTGTTCGGAATGGAGAGACAGCGCAAGCAGGGGGTGCGTTCCCTTGACCTCACATTCACGTTCTTGACGTTACCCTGCTTAGCTCCCCTGCGGCCACCGAGGACTTCGCTATGCATGGGAAAATGTCCCGACCTCGACTACGTGGTTTGTCATGCTCGTAGGACTACGACTGAGAGAACGGGAAGCAGTCTTTCGCATGAAGGTATTTTTAGGGCATAGTTCAGAAGAAGGACAGGTGCGATTGAGGGGGTTGTATGTACGTAGTTGTTGTGGATGATGAATACGGCCAAGGCCCTTGTAGCTTAATGGTCTGAAGCTTTCCATTTGTAAAAGAGGGGGGTTCAGGTGTCGCGGCAAAAGGATCTTTAGGGTTTAGGGTTTAGGGCTTAGGGCTTAGGGCTTAGGGTTTAGGGTTCAGGGTTCAGGGCCGAGCTGCAGCCTGTTTCAGCCTCAAAACGCCGACGTGTCGTTTGCCAGATTTAGAAAAATGCGCTGCGTGCCCGTTCTCTTGGCCATGGCTCTGTGGACAGGTCCTTCGAGCCTCGCTGACGCAATCCGGGATGGTCGCCTGCAGCGATCGTCTCGATGGGCGGGCTTCTTTGGACCTGAAGATGCCGCCGAAGATGGCAGTAAGGAAGGTACACCTCCGAACCCGGACGAGATTTGCTGCGTCTGCGCCGGCCGCGAAATGTCGATCCCGAAGAGCAGTGGATGCCCTCCAACATGTGGGCAGAGAGACCAGCCGTACGGGTGCTCGGTGTGGGCCTCGAGGCCGCTCATAAAGACGAAGACCGCTCCCACTACGACTACGACGACCCTTTGGAAGCCTAGCTGGCTTTGCTGCGTCTGTCAAGTCGGGTTCGGATTTGAAGAAATCACTTTACCAGCAGGCAGCACTTGTCCCCCTCCATGTACGAAGAAGAAGGGCAACAGTGGCGACTTTCAATGCTTCGTGTAGGTCTGCTTTTCGAATTGTTGAAGAATCTCGCCCAGAAAAAAGAGTCGGCTCTTTTTGCGATATCAAGAGACAGGATGTGGTTTGCAACCATAGTATCGAGAAGCGGCAACTTTTTGGGGAACAGAAGGCCTGGGTTAGATTTGGGCCTGAAGGTTTGGATGGGCACTCTCAGTGGAATCTTGTAAAAAATGACTTAGTGGCCGAGTATCGGTAACCTTTAACCTTTTGGGGTTTATATAATCCTACCAGAATTGAAAAGGCTTACCTTTTTTGGGCTAGGGTACTCAGCCCCTAAGAAAATGAAGTGTTCCGTGTCATTGGAATTATTTGAAGTCCTACACTTTTTACACGGGGCAAGCTGTGTCATGCGTTGTGCCTAGGACCTGGGGTTGAGCGGGCATGCAGACTTTGTCTCTGGAACAGGGACCGATGGGTTTAGGGTTTAGGGTTATTTAGGATTTAGGGGGACCACTCTTCTGTAACTATAGCAGCTTAGCCGGGCATAGCACCTGGAATCACCTCCCTGCGTCCGTAAGATTCACCCCATGTAGAGGTACCCCACGTTTCCTACCAAACTTGGCACAATGTCTGCCTTGGAAATTCTAGGCTGGTTTGCGGCCAGCCACATTCCAGAGCAAAAGATTGACATCCCGAAGCCATGGTGCAAATGTCTCCAGGTCAATGATGCCGAAGCTGGATTTCAATGACAGCCATCACCTTGCGCGGATGGAGAAGGCCCCATAAACCCTGAACTCCTAAACCCTAAACCCTACCATGGCCAAAGATTCCTCCATAGAGTCAAGGCACGGCCAGTTTCACCAGCAGTGCCAACACCCTTTTTCTTTTGTTTGGGCTGTAGTGGTATATTATGGTGTACATCTCAGGTCGTTTCGTTCGTTTGCCGTCATTCTTATTGAGGCACCCGCGTCACTCCAGCCATTGCATTGATATTTCCGTGGCTGTAGGCCAACATATTGGAAAGCAGGCTTGTAGCGTTCGTTCAGTGGCACAACGTTATTTCTAGTCGTTTGTGCTATCAGGTTCCGCCTCGCATTTAAACATGCTGCAGATGCCTGCAGTTCGTGCAATCTTTCTGAGCCTTGCTGCGCCCATTTACTCTTGACTTATTTCCAGTTTCGCCAAGAATGCAACCAAGTATGTTGCTGCTGTTCTTGCTCCGATAGTTGCGGTTCCTGCCAGTACTACGTGTATTGATTGTTATATTTATTCAACTCTGGTTGCTATTCTTGTTTGATCCCATGATCATCATTATCAGTATGCTCAATGTTCGAGGGCGCAATGATTGTGAGAGCCAGACAGCCCGCGTTGCTGTGCCTGTTGTTATGACCTCTGTCTCAAGATACAGACTCGTGTGCATCGTGATTTGCTGTCGTTTCAGCGGTTACACCTCATTGCGACCACGACCCGTTGCTGCTGCTGCGCCCGGGACCCTGCTAATGTTGTTTCTGCAACCTGCTGCCTACTGCCTCCTCCCGACTCCCTACTGCCTACTTTGTAGGGCATGCTGCCCACTAACTATTTGCTACGAACTGCTACTGCTACTAGTTTGCCAGTAGTCGTACTGCTACCACTACCACTACCACTACCACTACCACTACCACTACCACTACCACTACCACTACCACTACCACTACCACTACCACTACCACTACCACTACCACTGCTGCTGCTGCTGCTACTACTACTACTACTACTACTACTACTACTACTACTACTACTACTACTACTCCTGCTACTACTCCTCATCCCACTCCTACTCTCACTCCTACTCCTACCCCCCGG